GTTTGGTTTTTTTTTTGTTTTTGTTTTTTTTTTTTTTTTTTGGGGGGGGGGGGGGGGGTTGGGGGGAGGGGTTCAAAATTGAATTTTTACTTGAATTCGATTCGATTTGAAACCTATAAACTAACAATGATAATCTTAAAAATTGTAATGATTTCTGAAAAAGTCATCTTGTATATGCCCTGAAGCAAAACGTATTTATCTTTGGGAATAGCGTCCCTGTGAATTGCACTGCAATTTTATAGATAGGGTTGACCCAATTGGTAAAGTGCCCAGACTCTTTGTAGACCGAAAGAATTTTACGTGTAGCTGTTCCGGGCTGATTGTGTGGGTAGTTTTAGGTGGAATGTGTATTGCCATGTCCCGGGGGACGGGTTTTTCTTCTTGTACTTACGTGATTGTATGTACTAACCGTAGAAGCAGAGCCTTGCTTAATCTGATTTAATTTCCTCGGGGATATATCCAAAGAGAAAGTATCCCCAAGTTATTTCCAAATTACATAGCATATTTCTTTAACAAGTCTTGAGTTTTTCAAAGAAAACGAATTAAATAAATGCAATTGATGCATACGGAATCCGTTTCCGTGTAAAGTTAGTTTCTGTAAAGAATGCAGACAATTCGGCGAGACTTATGGAGATTAATATGAAATTGATGATAGATCTATCCTAGACGTAAGTCGCTAATAATGACATATATGGGTCATGACCTTTAAGACTTGTGTGCAGAGCTTAGCACAATTGTCTCGTCTCACCCTTTAGCCTCATCTCGTTTTTCATTCGACTCATCGATTTCATTCTTCCTGATAGTACTTATATATACATAGGAGTTTGTCACGTCAGCGGTCCATAAAGTTCTCCATAACAATTTCGATCTTTCTAGAGTAAGAAGTAGATGAGAAAATAAATACATGAAAAAATAAATAAATGAAAAAAATATATAAGATAAATAAATATACAAAAGAAACAAATAGTCACTAGTTTATGTTTGAATTGTTTCGTTTAGATATCGGATTTCCATCGAAGTCCAAAGCAGGAGAGATGTCGCTCGGTGATTGCACCCTCAGTCTGAAAGATTGCACAACCATACAAATGCGTTCATCGTAACGTTGAAGTCTCGGCGTCCACGTGATTAATCATGGATCAGCGTATCAAGTCAACATATAAGTAAACTGAAGCCGCAAAGTTGGTGTTATTTCTACCAATAGGTCGTTTCGTTATTTTCCTATATTGTATTTCGATAAATTGATGTGCCCAGGATACTACTTGACGGGAGCCCGGTGGTGCGGTGTCTCAGACACCGATATTGATCTCCACAAATAATCACCCCTCCCCTATATCATACTAACGCTGATACAATCAACTCTCTACTTTGTCCACTTGAAACCAGGATCCATCACAAGTTCTCATCACCATTGGAAGAAGAGAAAATTTTTTATCTGCCTGTTCCGTTCGAAAATTGTCTAACCTTAATTGTCGGTGGTGTATGGATATTGATATGGCGGATGGACCTCGGCGTAAAAAGACATGTCTGTTTTACGTAATCGGCGGGCACCGCTTTCCGGTGAAGTGGAGTAGCGCCCACGGTTGGCTCTTCTTCCTTATTATAGTTCTATCAGAACGTATTGATTCGGGCCCGTGTACGCCGAGGAGCACCAACAACCACAGTAGCATGATACATGAAGGACTGAAGTCAAGTCAAAATATACTCTAAGGTCACAACAAGGACGCTAAGCACAACATAAAGTCACAGCAAAGACGAGAACCCTATTATACAAACAGCTATCGCTTCAAAAAATATCAAAATCATGCGTTAGAATACATAAAGAAAAAGCAAAAGGCACTCCGAAAATATACAAATATGTGAACAAAATTATGATATAAACTCAAATTCAATAAAACTAAGACAAATATGGAAAAAGAGAAAAAAATATCACACGGAGCATCTTGAAAACGTACAAGGAGTATAAGACCACGTGTTCCGAAAGACTAATCGTCTACTGCTTCATTGACGACACCCGCTATGTAAACCTAGGTAAATCCAAATAAGTATTGTTTCATTCTGTAATAACCATTCATAACTAGATGTTCATTAATATGTAGTGGAATTAATTAACTTATGTGCCTAAATTACCATAATAGTACAGTTCAATGCTTAGTACATTAACTGGAAGAATGGAAACAACATGTTTAGAAAAGATGAAACTGTCTTCATAAAAACAAAAGATACATGTTTCTATAGACGTCAGATGATATCCAGTCCTGTAAGCTATCGAAATTACGTAACGTTGAAATACAGAGGCTCTGTCCCTAACCATAGTCAGCTTCACGCCTTATACGGGGCCTAGGTTCTTTAGCCTTGTACCAGTGTTTGTGTACACAATAACCACACAAACATATTGTAAGAAGTGTATGATGGGAAAAGTTAAAGTGTATCTAGTAAAAATTTTAATTTGTCTGGTATATGAAAAACGTCTGGAACATACTAAACGATGATAAATAGTAGGTATATAGGTTAGATGTAAATAATGCACAATAATTGGTAATGAATATTATTATAAAATACACACGACACCGGCAATGACCATGTGACTTGGCTAAGAACCCTAAAAACTTTGGATAGCTAATCAACATGCAATCTTTTAACTCAGTTCTCCGCATTGCTTTCATTTTCACCGATAATGGATTGAAATGGCACAGTTAGGATAACTATAGAGAATCTCACCGAAGCAAACATTGATGAGCGTGTGCTGATATCCGTGCCTTACACGAGAAACGTCGACAGAAAGTCAGTTAATGTCAATATGGTTTTTGATTTACAACGTTAATAAATTGATCGTTTTGAGTGTGTTGGCATAGATATGGAAGTTATCATTGGCCTGAATGAATACACAATGTTTATTATAGGAAATTAATCATCCAACCGACGTCAAAAGTTCCAGGCATGAAATAGAGTAACCACAGAGTGCCTTGAGATTTACTCCATTTTAAGATGAGTTTTTATTTCATTTTAACTGCATCCAATATCTTTCTAGCTTCCCAAACGCATGATTGCATGGGACGGACAACAAAAGATACAGTGAAGAGTCTTTGTGACCTCTGATGTTGACAAAGTTAGGGGAGACAACTACTTGGATTCCTGACAAAGTCATCTGAGGCTAATGACGTAGACTGTCAATAGACAAAGTTAGGGGAGACAACTAGATAGATTCCTGGGCCTGTATTCATAAAACCGTTCTCATGCTCAAGCATGAGGTTTGTGTTCAAATCTGATATCTTGTTTAAGTTAAAATTAATAATAAGGATGATTTTGCCGAAGATTTAAATACAATTTTAAAGGATTTCAAATCAAAGCTATATTCAAGGTTTAAAGTTGACATTATTTTTTTTTATTATTTAGGTTAATTATAAAAAAGTTTGCTTGAGCACAAAGTCTATTCTTGAGCATGAGAATGGTTTCATGAATTCGGGCCCTTATATGATCACTTGAGGTGACTGAGTTATCCATAGAGTCAAAGGAGACAACTATATGGGATTCCTGATCAAATTATCTTAGGCGAATGACGTGGATTTTATACAGAGTCAGGGGAGACAACTATATGGGATTCCTGATCAAATTATCTTAGGCGAATGACGTGGATTTTATACAGAGTCAGGGGAGACAACTATATGGGATTCCTGATCAAATCATCTTAGGCGAATGACGTGGATTTTATACAGAGTCAGGGGAGACAACTATATGGGATTCCTGATCAAATTATCTTAGGCGAATGACGTGGATTTTATACAGAGTCAGGGGAGACAACTATATGGGATTCCTGATCAAATTATCTTAGGCGAATGACGTAGATTTTATACAGAGTCAGGGGAGACAACTCTACGGATATTCATAAATACTGTAGTTATATTTTATTCTGCCATGTAAATATATCTATTGACATTTATAGTAAATGCTTTCTTTGAATAATAGTATGTAGAGTATCTTATCATTTACAAATTTCACTCGTTTCCGTCCCTGGTATTAAATCTTCATAAAACTTTGGGTTTGTTACCAGGTTTCTTAGTCCTCCGCGCACTGGTTTCGCTCGTTGAGGTTCCATACATTACACAAACAAAAATAATGTTTCTTAATTCCAAAGTAAATAGCCTTTGCCCCTTGTATTTCAATATTACCAGTATTCGACCATTTTCGTAAGAATGGGATATTGTTTTGGTGTTTTAATTAAAAAAGACCATGATGTTAAATGTGAAGGCAATTAAATCATTAGATTTTAAACAGAAAAAAGGGTAAAAGCGCCATACAGTAGAGTATTGATATAAATAAAATACATTTGACCTGTCTTCCTTTCACATGTTTGTGTTCCTTGTTTTAACATGTGAATTAAAGATAAGGAATTGGAGAGACTATCTTAAACATTACCACTATCAGCAACGTATGAAAACCTTGGTCAGTTTCTATAATAACACACGAACAACTCCACGTGATCAAAACGTGACCAAGGAATACTAAGTCTAAGACATAGGAGAATATTTTGTCAAGTCCCGATGAATTTCAATTGTTTACATGTGAAGGATAATGTGATAGAAGAGGCAGCAACTTCCATCACATTTATACACACATTGGGTTCCGGATGATCCTAGAACTGTCTAATTGTATTAATTAAATACTACATAATTAAAGTACACACTACGGTGACGGAAATACCGTCTGATCCACTTTGATAAACTGCGTCACTAATAATCAGGATATTCTGTAATGGTACACGTAGAAATGAAAGTAATTTGATAGTAAGCGCTTCATACAAGTTTAATGACAACCCATTTACATGGTTATAAAACATGTTTAAATCTAAGTGACTTGAAATATTTCTTGAAATATTAATCTCTTAATAAACAGCGATCTTTAAAAAATAGAAATTCACTGTCACTCGAAGCTGACACTGTATTAAGGAATATAAGACGTGTGTGTGTCGTCCTTGTCGTCCTTGTTGTCCTTGTTGTGCTTGCCGTCCTTGTTGTCCTTGTTGTCCTTGTCGTCATTGCCGTCCTTGTTGTCCTTGTTGTCCTTGTTGTCCTTGTCGTTCCTGTCGTCCTTGTAGTCAGTGACGTTCCTGTCGTCCTTGTTGTCCTTGTCGTCCTTGTCGTTCCTGTCGTCCTTGTCGTCCGTGACGTTCTTTTGTCCTTGTCGTCCTTGTCGTTCTTTTCGTTCCTGTCGTCCTTGTCGTCCTTGTCGTCCTTGTCGTTCCTGTCGTCCTTGTCGTCCGTGACGTTCTTGTTGTCCTTGTTGTCCTTGTTGTCCTTGTCGTCAGTGACGTTCTTGTTGTCCTTGTTGTCCTTGTCGTTCCTGTCGTCCTTGTCGTCAGTGACGTTCTTGTTGTCCTTGTTGTCCTTGTCGTACGTGACGTTCTTGTTGTCCTTGTCGTCTTTGACGTCCTTGTTGTCCTTGTTGTCCTTGTCGTTCCTGTCGTCCTTGTCGTCATTGTCGTTCCTGTCGTCCTTGTCGTCAGTGACGTTCTTGTTGTCCTTGTTGTCCTTGTCGTTCCTGTCGTCCTTGTCGTCCGTGACGTTCTTGTTGTCCTTGTTGTCCTTGTTGTCCTTGTCGTCAGTGACGTTCTTGTTGTCCTTGTTGTCCTTGTCGTTCCTGTCGTCCTTGTCGTCAGTGACGTTCTTGTTGTCCTTGTTGTCCTTGTCGTACGTGACGTTCTTGTTGTCCTTGTCGTCTTTGACGTCCTTGTTGTCCTTGTTGTCCTTGTCGTTCCTGTCGTCCTTGTCGTCATTGTCGTTCCTGTCGTCCTTGTCGTCAGTGACGTTCTTGTTGTCCTTGTTGTCCTTGTCGTTCCTGTCGTCCTTGTCGTCCGTGACGTTCCTGTTGTCCTTGTCGTCAGTGACGTCCTTGTTGTCCTTGTCGTTCCTGTCGTCCTTGTCGTCCTTGTCGTTCCTGTCGTCCTTGTCGTCCTTGTCTTTCCTGTCGTCCTTGTCGTCAGTGACGTTCTTGTTGTCCTTGTCGTCCTTGTCGTTCCTGTCGTCCTTGTCGTCCGTGACGTTCCTGTTGTCCTTGTTGTCCTTGTTGTCCTTGTCGTCCTTGACGTTCTTGTTGTCCTTGTCGTTCCTGTCGTCCTCGTTGTCCTTGTCGTTCCTGTCGTCATTGTCGTCCTTGTCGTTCCAGTCGTCCTTGTCGTCAGTGACGTTCTTGATGTCCTTGTCGTCCTTGTCGTTCCTGTCGTCCTTGTCGTCAGTGACGTTCTTGTTGTCCTTGTCGTCCGTGAAGTTCTTGTCGTTCTTGTAACCCTTGTAATCCTTGTAACCCTTGTCCTTGTCGTCCTTCTTGTCCTTGTCGTCTTTCTCGTCCTTGTCGTCCTTGCCGTCCTTGTAGTCCTTGATGTCCTTGTCGTCCTTTTTGTCCCTGTCGTCCTTGTTGTCCTTGTAGTCCTTGTCGTCCTTGTCATCCTTGTCATCCTTGTCATCCTTCTCTTCCTTGATGTCCTTGTAGTCCATATATTCCTTGTAGACCTTGTCCTTGTCGTCCTTGTAGTCCTTGTCGGCCTTTTCGTCCTTGTCGTCCTTGAAGTCGTTGATGTCCTTGTCGTCCGTTTTGTCGTTATCGTCCTTCTCTTCCTTGTCGTCCTTATCGTCCTTCTCGTCCTTTCAGTCATTGTCGTCCTTGTAGTCCTTGACGTCCTTGTAGTCCTTGTTGTCCTTGTCGTTCTTGTCGTCTTATAGTCCATGTAGTCCTTGTCCTCCTTGTTGTCCTTGTCGTCTTTGATGTCCTTGTCGTCCTTGTAGTCCTTGTCGTTCTTATATTCCTTGTCGTCCTTGTAGTTCTTGTCGTTCATGTCGTCCTTGTTGTCCTTGTCGTCCTTGTCGTCCGTGATGTCCTTGTCGTCCTTGTTGTCCTTGTCGTTCCTGTCGTCCTTGTCGTCAGTGACGTTCTTGTTGTCCTTGTTTTCCTTGTCCTCCCTGTTGTCCTTGTCGTCCTTGTCGTCCTTGTCGTCCTTGTTGTTCTTGTCGTCCTTGTCATCCTTGTCGTCCTTGTAGTCCTTGATGTCCTTGTCGTCCTTGTAGTCCTTGTAGTCCATGTCGTCCTCATCGTATTATAGTCCTTGTCGTCCTTGTAGTCCTTGTCGTCCTTGTCGTCCTTGACGTCCTTGTCGTCCTTGTCGTCTTATAGTCCTTGTCGTCCTTGCAGTCCTTGTAGTCCTTGTCGTCCTTGTTGTCCTTGTCGTCCTTGTCGTCCTTGTCGTCCTTGACGTCCTTGTCGTCCTTGTCGTCCTTGTAGTCCTTGTTGTCCTTGTCGTCGTTGACGTCCTTGTCGTCCTTGTCGTCCTTGTCGTCCTTGTCGTTATAGTCCATGTAGTCCGTGTCCTCCTTGACGTTCTTGTTGTCCTTGTCTTCCCTGTTGTTCTTGTCGTCCTTGACGTCCTTATCGTCCTTGTCGTCCTTGTCGTCTTTGATGTCCTTGTCGTCCTTGTAGTCCTTGTCGTTCTTATATTCCTTGTCGTCCTTGTAGTTCTTGTCGTTCTTGTCGTCCTTGTTGTCCTTGTTGTCCTTGTCGGTCCTGTCGTCCTTGTCGTCCGTGACGTTTTTGTTGTCCTTCTCGTCCGTGATGTCTTTGTCGTCCTTGTTGTCCTTGTCGTTCCTGTCGTCCTTGTCGTCAGTGACGTTCTTGTTGTCCTTGTCGTCCCTGTTGTCCTTGTCGTCCTTGTCGTCCTTGTTGTTCTTGTCGTCCTTGTCATCCTTGTCGTCCTTGTAGTCCTTGATGTCCTTGTCGTCCTTGTCATCCTTGTCGTCCTTGTAGTCCTTGATGTCCTTGTCGTCCTTGTAGTCCTTGTAGTCCATGTCGTCCTTATCGTCTTATAGTCCTTGTCGTCCTTGTCGTCCTTGACGTCCTTGTCGGCCTTTTCGTCCTTGTCGTCCTTGTAATCCTTGTCGTCCTTGTTGTCCTTGTCGTCCTTGTAATCCTTGTCATTGTCGACCTTGTCGTCCTGATGTCCTTGTTGTACTTGTAGTCTTTGTCGTCGATTTTCGGGACAGTTAACTAAATACTGATCATGTTACCTGTATCAAGAGATGGAGCGTTCTTACCTTTTAAAGGTGTGCATACTTTGACAGCTTAACGAGCATCCGTTAAACCGAAAATCGGATGAGTTATTGACAGAAAATTATGTGTGCTTTCATCAAAGTTGGATTTTGGCAACATGGGTTTCAAACAATAAATGTATATGTTTATATATTGTTCTGTTCTGATTTCCTCAATTTTGATTCTAAAGGATATCGAGTATGTCAAGATATTGTATTTAGAATCAACCGTTGTAAATCTCAGCGTAGGTCTTGGTGGCTTTTTTAAACATCTTACTACTAATGGAAACACCATGAAACTATGAATTAAATGATATAAAGCGGCGACAAACATTCATGTCTCAACACACAGAACATAAATCTCACAACTTAGACGATTTCATTTTTCTCCAAACATGATAACTGAGTTCGTCATATCCTTGTCCATAAGCTTGTTCAGGAAGATGACAACACACAGGGACAAATGAGATAGAAGAATATGTACATTAGGTACAGTGGATTATATATCGTACGTGATCCAGGTAACTTCGCTCCTATCGCGGTTCAAAAACCAGAACGAAAAAGGCAAAAAACCGAACATGGTGCTACTCAGTCACCATCAGAACAGGAAGAGTTACCTCGACGTCAGAATATAGACGATGTAGTTTCTGGCCGTGATTAATTTATCTGTCATTTTACAATGCTAAAGTATGTTTTAGTTGTGTCATACTACAGGCAGGAGACAATGATGCATTGTAATTACTGTTGGACACAACGATCAACACCAACTGAAGTGTCATTAAGATGGCGCTCATCACTTACAAAGGGAGATAAGTACCATCAACAGATTTGTAATCCCAGCATTTTATTTCCTGAGACAGTGTTAATTAATTTTACATCAATATCGTATGATATGTTAGTGAAGAGAAATTAAAGTAGTCGTCATCATTTCACAATAATATGGTGGTTCTTCACGGATAGTTTAGTTCTTTTTCTGACGTTTGTTTTGTATGCTATGTGATAGTAATGGGGATCATCTTATGATATCGTGAGTGGAAATGCATGGTGCTTAAAACACAACAAAAGCAACAAACGTCACATGTGATCAGCCTTGAACTACTGGGTTTTAGGATTTTTATCAGTGAATGGACACAGAACTGTCGATCCGTTCAAAAGAAAAAAAATTTAATATTCCAAAAAATCATTACACAAACACATACAATGACAGTTTGAAACTTCTGGTAAACATGATTGCTGAAGAAACAAAATTTGAACCAACCTTCGCCATTTTCTATAAAAGATAAAATACAGTATATATATATATAGTCTCCTACAGAGAAGTCGCCGAAAGTCCCTGGTTAGGCATGGAACACTCACATAATAAGGATCTCTATTGCGTGGTTTATTGTATAGCATACAATTGTAAAATAGAGATGCTATAATATAAAATATTTGATTTTCTGCAAAGTGCTCCGACAGGATGCACATAGCCATGAAACAAGCATTTCAAAATGATACCGGCATATACATCTTATTGATCAAAATCGTGCTCGCTTTTACGCAGTGACAATTTCACATTGAAGGATAACATGAAATAGACAACGTTCATCATGACTTTAAACTTTTGACTTCAACATTATTTATTACCAATATTAATTTGAACACGTGATTAGTCACAAGTTATAACAAATTAGTGATGCCTTCTCATTAAATGAAGTATATGTACATAAATATATATATATATATAATACATAGATATAAAATATACACGGATACACGATCACAACTTTGAAATATTTCTCCAAATCCATTTCTGTAGTCGAGGAAATTTTGTGCTGTTGGTCTAAACACAAGGGAGTGTATTGTACAGATCCACCATACAAATAAGCTCCAAATTTATCTCTTTTCCTGGCATTCAAACTTTGAAGTACTATAGGATGTCCACAGTTACAAACTGGATCTTCAATATTCACTCATAAAAAGGACATAACTTAAGGAAACTGCATTTGTGCTTCAGTATAGTGTGTTTAATGTTCAGACCTCTCCCAAACAGAAGATGATGGTTAAAGATATATGTAGTTAATGTTTCAGCGTTTTTTAATACAAGTATACTGTATCTAAGATGGGAAGGGGAGATTTGTAAGATAAAGCCCAAATAGTGGAACATTATAATTACTGTTTCTAAGAGTTTATCGGTTTTTTTTGCTGCAATGATAGGCGGTAGGGGGTCATTTAGATAATCTGGAGTTAATTTATCATACATTTTATACAAATTTTTTCTACGTTTTCGACAATTTGAAATAGCTGCATTTGATTGGGTAATTTTTCTTTATTTTGATATTTATTCTTCTACATTAACTTTGTTATGTATGTACATTGTATTTCAATTTGTACATTCTGTACGTACTGGGTATTTGATATGAGAGGTAGATAGTAGATATATTTCTGTTGGTATAAGAGCACAGGTAGTTAAATATGTTGTGTTGATTACTTAGTTGATTTTAAAACGTACATTATATAACATACCAGGCAATTAAAAAATGCTAGATATTCTAATAAACATTGGATTTCCTGTTTAACATGCTAATGCGAATGTTTACAATGTCTCGTAAAGCTGAATGATGAACTTGAAAGCAAACGAAATGTGCGAAATCTTAATGAATGAAACAGATTTTATCGTAGTTTATATCAAAGCCTAAAACAGGGGAAAACAAACACAAAAAACCAAACAAAACGAAACAGAAAACATAGACGTCACAACAGGTATCATGAAGTAAGAAAGATAACTCGTACGTGCATCGCCTCGGTTTCATTGCAGTCCTGTGGTTAGTACTACACAAAAAAACATGCCTGAAGATAATTTTGTTACTGACAAAACTGGCAACCGTTTAAAATATCATGTAATTACATTTCGTCTATATCAGGTATCGGTGACGTGAGAAAATGGTGATGTTAACAATAATGTACTTACACAAAATTAATATTACATTCCCAGTATGTTAATAGTTCAAACTTAACCCGTGTAACCTACTCCACCCCCAACATTCCAAAATTAAATAGCTCCGAATCCTAAATAGAATACGTCCTCGCTTGCATTTTATACATCGATGAAAAATAAACAAATCTAATTTGAACTCTATTCACACACGAAATGAACACATGAAATGTACGTAAGTGACTACCAACCAAAGTGGTTATAATTATATGTTGTATCTCCGCCGTGACAGTTTTATCATACCTGTACCGAATGGTCAAATTTTACACTGAAATATGTAGGATTATGTACCAGGAATATGATTGTTAATAACGTCGCAGCTACATTGTATATAAGTATAAATACACAGGTATGATATACCGTAGATTACTACAGGTGAAGACAGTGATTGTCACTAAAATATAAGTTCGAAAAATCAAATTTCATTAAATTGTTCATTTCATTAATTGTTGGAGTTTCCATATCACAAGTTGATCATACACAAAAAATACTAATGAAAGTATCCATGTTGTACTGTAGGTGTTAACCGAGGTCATTAAGTGAATATGAACCTCACCTCCTTAATGATAATATAAATAATCTGTTTATAATATACACTGATACATGAAAGTCAGTGTAGATATAGGTTTTACTTGTATCTTAAGTAATGATTGACAGAAGAACGCTCTTCTCAACAATGACGTCGTGAAGGTCAAACGCTTGACACTTGATAATTAAGTGCGTGGTAGGAGTGTATTTGTGATAGGGGTGTCACTATATAGCAACAGAAATTGCCTCAGTTATGTCAAAAAAACACATTTATTATTGATTTGCATTATATCAGAATTTTGTACTTTCATGTATTAATGTATAGAAATCGTTTCAAACGCAAACATAATAAAACTGTACGATAGAGTAAAGGTAGGTTTTCCACACAGTATCTGAAACATGCACATAACCAGAGGTGTGTATCATTGCTTACATTTATAAAACAAACAGGGATATCCGTTATGTAATCAATGACACGGATATTTTTGAAAACTGACAATGAGTTTAGTTCCGACATAAACTCAAAAAAAAACATGGCATTATACTCTATCGTAAAAAAACTATAAAGATTTCTCATAGCGTGATATGGTTTGGGTAGGAGAAAAATATTGATTCTAGGAAGGATGCATCTTTGATGGCACGTTGCACATGAACACGAATCTGATTCAAAACACACATATACATCAACTTTACTGTGACTCCTTCATAAAACACACAGAACGACGAAATAAAAGGTTTAATTTGTCTCCCGCACTTAAAACAACAGTATAAGACAAGGTTTCGTACCATACATTCAAAGCTACAAATAACACAAGCATTGCGATATCACACTTAAATACCACAGCAGATATCGGTCATTAGAAATCTCACACTTAAATACCACAGCAGATATCGGTCATTAGAAATCTCACACTTAAATACCACAGTAGATATCGGTCATTAGAAATCTCACACTTAAATACCACAGCAGATATCGGTCATTAGAAATCTCACACTTAAATACCAAAGCAGATATCGGTCATTAGAAATCTCACACTTAAATACCACAGCAGATATCGGTCATTAGAGATCTCACACTCAAATACCACAGCAGATATCGGTCATTAGAGATATCACACTTAAATACCACAGCAGATATCGGTCATTAGAGATCTCACACTTAAATACCACAGCAGATATAGGTCATTAGAGATCTCTCACTTAAATACCACAGCAGATATCGGTCATTAGAAATCTCACACTTAAATACCACAGCAGATATAGGTAATTAGAGATCTCACACTTAAATACCACAGCAGATATCGGTCATTAGAAATCCCACACTTAACTACAACAGCAGATATCGGTCATTAGTGATCTCACACTTAAATACCACAGCAGATATCGGTCATTAGAAATCTCACACTTAACTACCACAGCAGATATTGGTCATTAGAAATATCACACTTAAATACCACAGCAGATATTGGTCATTAGAGATCTCACACTTAAATACCACAGCAGATATCGGTCATTAGAAATATCACACTTAAATACCACAGCAGATATCGGTCATTAGAGATCTCAACACTTCAATACCACTGCAGATATCGGTCATCAGAGATCTCACACTTAAATACCACAGCATATGTCGAATATTCGAGACTTTAATATCACAGTATACGTCGGTCAAATTAGATGTTATTTTACAATTATTGACTCTTTAATAGGTTGATACACGGATCTATCAACCCGCAAAAGTAATATTCACCGATAAATAGTCTATGATTGTTTTATTATATGAAACATTTCTTCAAATTCAGCTTACTTTGAATTAATTATGTTTATGAAAGACTCTGAACAATTTCACTTGTAACAGCTGTTTTATACATAACAATAACTGTACATTTTCTTTAGATCGGCATCCTCTATTGGTGGATAGTGGTTCACAGCACCTTTCCCTTCTCTTTTAGTAACAGCCTCAAAAATCTTGTTTGACTATTTAAAATCAGTGTCATTAACTATGCCTATGGATTGTGTTGCTGACAAGTTGCGGTTAATTCCATGTCGTATGGTGAGTAAGCTTGATCTTTGATACTGCTCTCCATTTGCTTGACGAACTTCGACGGAAAATTTCTCTAAAATATCGTCTATCTGCTGGACCGACAGGTCCTTGATTCAGACCACCTCTCTCCTTTAAATAACAGCGAAGAGTTTTCTACACTCCGTTTTGGTGTTCGCTTGGTATTTACAGAGTCTTTGTCGTACAAAATCTTTTTCATTTGATCTTCGTTAATAGTCGCAAAACATGTATATTGTTTATCCATAACAAAAAATATATTTATTTACTTGTTTGTCTTTTTTTAATCATATGTGGTTCTGACGGCAGTAAAGCAATCCTTATGAAATCAACATGATGGTTTACTATGTGGATACTTATTTCAGTTTCAGGAAGTAACCATGGTGATTACTAACGTTGTGAATTGATTGGTCCTGATTAATGTTGAGATAAGTGTCATAGTTACTTTTGATTGGTCAATAGATCTGATGAAGAACGGAAATGCTAAAATACAGCCTGATAATGATGATATGTATCTCTTTAAGTACATTGTTTGACCGGTGTCCCGTCACCCTTTATTTATCGTGACCGATAATGTTTTGAGTACAATGTACATGTATGGCTTTTAAAGCGACAAGTCTCACCTACTGCTCCGTCCAATTCACATTTTGAAAATACCGTCCCTGTAAGCTAATAGACAGCAACTATTAATGTGTGTCGCCTTTCAACCCGACTTGTAAATATTACGTACCGGTGTATAAATATAGACACAAACCGGGCTTGAAACTTAATGAACCGTATATAATAACCATGTAGATATAAAATAAATATCTAAAATTAAAAGTAAATATAGTTATAAATCATTTATGGTGTTTACAAAAAGTTAATTATTGAAAGGAGTGGGAACATTTCTGTTTAATAAGCGAAACGAATAAAGACTTGATAGGTTTGAATTCGTGTGGTAAGTGGACCACTGCATGCTTAAAGCAATGATTTACTGGCCTAATCCCAAAACAATATATTCCAAAGAATTAACCATTCATCAATATATATTTACTATACAATACGACCAGCTCTCTATTTTAATATATTAATCGGGTTTACTTTAAAGAATTAAAACAAATCAGTTTAAAATATTAATGTCATCATTATTATCACACGTTTTAAAGTTATTATTGACAAATTTGTGTCACGTGAATAAAATTCATGAAGCAATTAAAAAAAAACAAAAGGTACAATAGATTAATCTCGACGTACACATGTCTTTACGATAAGCCTTTCTGTTATAACGTATTTTGATATAAATGTACAACATCAATTTGTGGTATTCAGCTTTTTAAGGGGAAGTAACTTCAACCACAGGCAACCGTTATCGTTTTAAACGTTAATTCCAGTTTTACTTTTCTCCCGAAATTGAATTCACCTTTCCATTAATAGGAAAGTGTATATTCTCTATTTTTACCGCGCCTCCGTCGATGTAGAATGAAAAAGAAATGTGACGAGTTTTCACTAATCTTACAAGAAATAAACACAAATGCAAGATTCTCTTTCTCACAAAGCTAAATACATTTGAAAGCATACACGAAAATAATATTTTTAGACTAATGAATATCGTAAATTTGTGATTATCTCGCTCCATATCTTGATCAGGACAACATTCAGTTATGACGTCACGATGGAAACAATGAAAACGTTCTGCTCAGAAAGTTGTTATTACACTTGTGATTAAAACAAAATCTCGGTGATTTTGTTTATCAGTTTGCCTGCTGGGATTATCGTTCTGTGAACATCCAGAGTTGTTTTTGTAGTAGCTGATGGCTACCTCACTGAACATCGTACGGGAGGCCCGCCACATGTCATCAAACCGCAATAAGAGTATTTGTGTTTTGTTCAAGGACACAACCACAACAGCACAGACTTATTCGTTTCTCGTGCAGAACTCTGAGAATCGCAAACTGCCATGTTCACTCTAGGGTATGTACACATAGTTGACCAATGCTGTATGTACCTAGCCGATACCAGGGCAGTTATGTGATAAAAAAATACTTACGGCAGGGACAATCACACTATGATCACGTGATCCGTTTATGTAGTAGTGTAACCATTGTGAAATATATCAATCTTGTCACACACTGAATACGCTATTTGCAAAGAAGTTATGTATTCAGTGCACTTATACAATTTGCATATTGAATGATAGGAAAGTGAGAGATTGAAATAATCCATCACTTCAGTGTTATGTGATGTGGACAGAGAAATTCAAACCCTCGAGTTAAGATTTATAAAGTTATCTACTTGACTAAGAAACTTATCGATGAACTTTAAAAGTCTTGGCCGTGTGTAAAATCTGAAATAAAATCCTATCCAGTGGGTAGAGATTTCTCTGTTTACTTACATTGTTTACTCAATTACTGAATTCCTTAACGATGTATGAAGTAAAAGCAAAATATTGGCGTCTTTTTCTCCATCACCAGATTTAACTGACTGTTCTCCAGGATATATTTCTCGTTTTTGCTTCCGAATAACATCTTGTTTGATATGTGGTTTATATATATGTGTACTAGCAGGTTTCTACCAAACAATGTTTACCAATATCTAACAACGATATGATGTTGTTTAGCACATTTATTTCGAACTTGAATAACGAAACAGCGAAAATATAATTTTATTACATTATTAACAGTGACATATAGGAGTTTCTCAGTCTAATACATACTTATATCATTACTGTTGTAACGATATAAGACATTTTATATTATCACTATTGATGATATAGTTTTTCCAGTGATGCTATGACTTTCATACATTTGATCAACCAGAGCTGTGTTTCCCGGTCACTACAATGCAATTCGCCAATTTTCCTATTCGGACGCAAATACAGTGATAGTTAGATTATTTGGTTTCCTATCCAATAATTTCCAATGTACTATATATAGGTTAGGGATTCTACCAGTATCCCATGGTAGAGTACAACGTAAATCAGAAATATAAAATATATCATTTAACTGTTACACGTATTGTTTTTACTTACTTTGTGTTAAATTATTTCAAGACTTGTGTCGCAAATGTATAACCATTATCAGGTAAAGTAGTGAGATTACACGTGAAAAACGAAAACATGTAGAGCGACAAATTTTAAACGGCAACAATGAAAGGGGAGACAAAATTAAATAAATAAATTTTATTTTATCATGATGGATACAAACTTTGACATTTATCAAGAGGCAATAATCAATATATAGTTGTACTGTCACATTGATATTTAGATCAATAATACGCTATCTAAGTAATACTTTTACGGTACGACTATATTACAAACTTAATTGGCAACGTAAATAATGATGTCGTTTATAATAAGTCAGTAATATCAATGTATTTATTCTAATCCAGCTTATACCAGTATCCATACTAATTAACTAAAGTATAAATGTGGTACATTGAGTAAATTTATCAGCTTCATAATAAAAAAATCAAACAGTTTCCTTTCCCTGGCACAACGAAAATCTCAAATGATGAGAAAGAACTGTCTTTCATAATTCTAAAGCAAACAATTTCTTACAAGTACTGAAAAAAATCAAACAGACCTTGTTTGTGCTTGTCTGTAGAATGTATTGAAATTTGCCACAATCACCGGAACCGGAAGTGCAATGGACAATATTCCGCAAACAACTGTCATGCCCCCAACTAGTTTACCCCATGTTCCACGTGGATACATATCTCCATATCCGACTGTTGTCATGGATACAATGGCCCACCAGAACGCATCAGGGATGCTCTTAAAATGTGTGTTTGGTTCAGGTAGCTCTGCATAAAATATTGCACCGGAAGATATAATAATCCCAATGCCAAGAAACAAAGCAAACATGACCAGTTCGCTTATGCTGGTTTGCATAGTTTTTCCTAGAATCTGAAGGCCTACAGAATGCTTACTTAGTTTTAGGATACGCGATACTCTAAGTACCCGTAATACCGACAAGACGCCGCTTTTTGACTGACCACATTCCTTGGAGATCAGATATAGCCCCATTGAAAAATAAAAAGGCATTATTGATGCAAAGTCTATCCAATTGATGATATCTTTAAGAAAACTTCTCTTAGATGGGCTTGAGATAAAACGTAACACTAGTTCAATTGAAAACCAGCATATGCAAATTGCTTCTATAATATATAGAGGATGCTGGAAGTTTGGTACCTTCTTTATGACCACTTTACTGCTATTGACAGAACTGTCTGCAAGAACATCGATACACTCGCTGCCGTGAAACTGAGGCAAAGTTTCTACGCAGAATGTCGTCACTGATATCAAAATCACGATCACCGAAAAGATGGCTAAGACACGGGCGGCCAGTGAACTGTCGGGATACTCGAACAGCTCCCAGACCTTCCGTTGGAAAGGTTGTTTGGGGAGCAAAGGTGACTCGTTGGTATTGATAATAAATCCTTCCTCCCCTTTGTACGAAGTAACAGCAGATCTGCCTAGCTCGAAAAACTGTATTTCGTTGAGAAAAATATCAGACGGAACCTCCATCGGTCGCTTCAATCGACCTCCACTTTGATAATAGTACAGAACAGCTGGGAAACTTGGCCGGTGTCGATCAAAGAAAAATTCCTTTCGTTTCGAATCCCAATGTTTTTTCCGTTTTGTAGGGTTGCCAAGTAAAGTGTTAGGAAACCTGTTGAGAGTCCGGAGTTGGGTTTCGAACTTGAGTCCGCTGACATTGATAGTAATACGTTTGCAACCCTCTATGTTACATTCATGTCCGAGCGGTAAGGCATCCTCGGAAGCAAATGTTTCCTGCGCGTCTTCAGCACAATTGTCATCCTCATCGTCTGAAACTGCCGATGATACTGGTGGAAGCCGTGAGTGTGAACCAAAAAGATCCTTCCAATTAGAATCGGTCGAGGATGACCGGAAGTGAGTCCTGTCGATGTTTGACGGCGGTTGTAGATAACTCCTTCCGTCTGCAATATTGTTCTGGTTTATAATATGCATTGTAAAGTATATGAAGGTCACTTAATGTGAAAGGCCGTCATAATGCGACGTGGCACATTATTCGCAGATCCTGACTCTGACTGCAGTCAAACATCACACTTTACTCGAACACACATTCCACGGTGAAGTTTTCACAGTTTGACATGTCACATATGCCTCGTCGCTGCCTTCCTTTCAATACCTGAGATTAAACCCTTTACAACTTTCTATTGTCATCGTAGAATTTAAATAGGCGCCTTCTGTTGGTTTAAATTCGTGACACACATATATTGAGAGCCATATGACACTCGTTAACGAGATTTATCAACAGTAGAAATGACCAGTCCAACTCGCAATCTTCCTTTCCTGTATGATTCTGATACCTCGGACTTCACTGTGATCACGTGATGGCCTGCAGTCCGCCAGGGGACGTTCTGGTCGTGACTTGCATGTCCCTATTCGTTCACAAGTGCAACTTCTAATAGCATTGGCCCACTGTCTTGGCACAACTCCACCGAACATTAATGGCAACGAACCGTGGGTATATATATATCTTTACCTGTATTTGCGAAAGTGTGTAAAAAGCCTTGTCGACTCGCTGACCCTGATCCACTCATACAGGTGTATTTAGTGAAAGACCTTGTGGTTTAAAAGCTCGGGGACATATGAGTGCTTCTTGATACAAATATACCTTATTGTCACCAACACCCGCGAAATTGGACGAGTTCGCCCAGCTCTACAAATATTATTATCTTCTATTGTTGTGTTTATCTTACTTACTAGTGCTTTAACAACAAAGGGTTTTGAATCAAAAGTCGTGAAAAAATAAATAGTGTTTCTCAGCTCAGTGATAAACGATTACTGCACAACGATATTGTTCCTGGGTATACCAGTTATAATACGGCATTATACAAACTACACTTAGGTTTATAGCTCAATAAACACAGGTATCGCGGCAAATCACTGATACACCTTAGGAATTTCACGTCATGTAATTCTCAAGAGTTTTAATTTCTCGTTTATGCAACCGTGAACTTTGGGCTTATGGATTTACACTCGACGTTTGCAGAGCTTTGGAAATCCTGTAAAAACCGCCAGTATCCATGGGACAAATCTATGTCATCGCTGTATTTATCGCTGATCACAAAGTTACAAAATATTTAAATTCAGTAAAATTAATTTACCTTGTTATCCATTAGCATTTGTAGTGTAAAGTTTTACAAAAAGAAAAAAAATTGAAAAAGTTCAGCCACGAAATGTCATAGTTGTAAATGGTAGAAGCTTCATCGGTATTTACTCGGGAACGATTTACGAATTGCTATCAAATAATAGTAACAAACAACACTGATGGCCATGGACTCTGTAAATGTAATAAATACATGCATGTCTTTCGTATATTAACTTTACATTACCATCTGACACGAAGGATGAAGGTGCCAGAAATATTGTTTCGTCCCTCTAGGACCCTGCGTATACAGTGATGATAGGGATCTATCGTTTCTGTGGAAATCCACAAATATCAGGACAATTGAAATCTATCTAAAATCAGAATATTGAAAGGGCATTAAGTTTTGTCTGGGATGAAAAAAATCCAACGGTAGAGTTCACCACTCAGATATCTGAAGGAGTTTAAATTGATAGAAAATCATTACAATATATGGTTCGTTAAACACACTGAGTTTAAATATTTTAGATAGGATACATCAATGGCGAAACGACAGCTATGGTAATCTGAATGAAGAAACTGATTAAAGTGGCAGACGCCCACAATATGTCCATGTATTTCTCTAGAGCGGCACCCACCCACAATATGTCCATGTATTTCTATAGATCGGCAGCCACCCACAATGTGTACACGTAATTCTCTAGATCGGCAGTCACCCACAATATGTACATGTATTTCTCTAGAGTGGTAGCCACCCACAATATGTACACGTATTTCTCTAGATCGGCAGTCACCCACAATATGTACATGTATTTCTCTAGAGTGGTAACCACCCACAATATGTACACGTATTTCTCTAGATCGGCAGTCACCCACAATATGTACATGTATTTCTCTAGAGTGGTAACCACCCACAATATGTACACGTATTTCTCTAGATCGGCAGTCACCCACAATATGTACATGTATTTCTCTAGAGTGGTAGCCACCCACAATATGTACACGTATTTCTCTAGATCGGCAGTCACCCACAATATGTACATGTATTTCTCTAGAGCGGCATCCACCCACAATATGTACATGCATTTCTCTAGAGCGGCACCCACCCACAATATGTACATGTATTTCTCTAGAGCGGCAGTCACCCACAATATGTACATGCATTTCTCTAGAGCGGCACCCACCCACAATATGTCCATGTATTTCTCTAGAGCGGCAGCCACCCACAATATATACATGTAATTCTCTAGAGGGGCACCCACCCACAATATGTACATGTATTTCTCTGGATCGGCACCCATCAACAATATGTCCATGTATTTCTATAGATCGGCAGCCACCCACAATATGTACATGTATTTCTCTAGATCGGCAGCCATCCACAATATGTCCATGTATTTCTCTAGATCGGCAGCCACCCACAATATGTACATGTATTTCTCTAGATCGGCAGCCACCCACAATATGTACATGTATTTATCTAGATCGGCACCCACCCACAATATGTACATGCATTTCTCTAGAGCAGCACCCACCCACAATATGTACATGTATTTCTCAGCCACCCACAATATGTACATGCATTTCTCTAGAGCGGCACCCACCCACAATATGTCCATGTATTTCTCTAGATCGGCAGCCACCCACAATATGTCCATGTATTTCTCTAGATCGGCACCCACCCACAATATGTCCATGTATTTCTCTAGATCGGCAGCCACCCACAATATGTACATGTATTTCTCTAGATCGGCAGCCACCCACAATATGTACATGTATTTCTCTAGATCGGCACCCACCCACAATATGTCCATGTATTTCTCTAGATCGGCCACCCACAATATGTACCTAGATCGGCACCCACCCACAATATGTCCATGTATTTCTCTAGATCGGCACCCACCCACAATATGTACATGTATTTCTCTAGATCGGCAGCCACCCACAATATGTACATGCATTTCTCTAGAGCGGCAGCCACCCACAATATGTACATGTATTTCTCTAGATCGGCACCCATCCACAATATGTCCATGTATTTCTCTAGATCGGCAGCCACCCACAATATGTACATGTATTTCTCTAGATCGGCAGCCACCCACAATATGTACATGCATTTCTCTAGAGCGGCAGCCACCCACAATATGTACATGTATTTCTCTAGATCGGCACCCATCCACAATATGTCCATGTATTTCTCTAGATCGGCAGCCACCCACAATATGTACATGTATTTCTCTAGATCGGCAGCCACCCACAATATGTACATGCATTTCTCTAGAGCGGCAGCCACCCACAATATGTACATGTATTTCTCTAGAGCGACAGGTACCCACAATTATGTAAAGTACGGTTTATGTTTAACATATTCCTCTAGAATGGCAGGTACCCACAATTGCATAAAATGTATGCAACATTTTCTGTGGAGCGTGTTTTTAAGTAATCTTTATAAAGACTTTTCCATGTTTTTTTTAATGATATTACGTTTTGTTTGTTTTGCATACGTATACCTTATCTCTCCAAAATGTCAATTTTACTATTTTGCAGTATTTTTTTGACAATGATATTTACATTGAACAAATATAAAGCATTCATTTACATAAAGGACATTTTTTCCAATTTTTTAAACAATTATTTTGAGACCAGTTATTTCAGCTTATGTTGATGATTGCTGTTGATGGTCTAGATGGAAGACCACGAAGGATCATACTTGTAGAATTGGTTTTGTCAGTATGTATTTTAAACGATTCAAACGCCAAAATTTTAAAACATATTTTATCAAAAATATCAAAACTTCAAATATCAGTTGATGAGGAATTAATAAAGTCTTCCTGCTCTCGCACGCCATACCTTCAAACATCCTAATTCATTATATTAGACGTGAACACGGAATACCGTGGCCATTTTGGTTGGTTTATTGGGACAATTTCTATCATTACACTGAGTACTGGGTATGAAATATGATCAGACAGGCTTAATAAGCGTTTAATGAGTTTTCATGAACAGACCTTGTCGTAAACATTGAAAATAAGATCATGTTGTGAATGTAAACAAATGACGGGGTGTACCTGTGGAACATTTCAGATTTCGCTTTTCTCTATCTAATTATGTTCAATACACATTTCAAACACTTCCATGAAAGTTATATCGCTGTATCAGAAGTGTTGGAAGATATATTACATAGGTATGAGGTATGAACTTTCAAGCTTTCCAGATTGATCCAACTTAGCCCAAGGCTTTCGGAATAAAAACTTGTCGATAGATTTAAATGTATGGCTATACTTTCATTTTCCATAGTTTTGTGATAAACGACAATTATGCTGTTAAAACAACAACAAATGATGACAGTTTATTAAAATACTTTGTGTATTTTATATTCAGCAGAAGTTTTGATAGCAATAATTTCTTTCTAAATAGGCGCACAACATCAAAAGACATATAATTTCAACATGAAGTTCATCATTTTTGCGCCTTATCCATGCCATGAAAAACAAGAGTTGTTTCCCTTCGGCCATGTAAAGGCTTACGCGTGTGTATAATTTCTTTGTTAGAATTTATCAATATAAAGTATTGAGAGTAACCATGAGGAGGTATCTCTATTCCTACAGGTAAAAACGTGGTAATGAGGAATATTTGGCATCACTATGGGAAAGATTGTCTATTCACAGTTCAGTGTAACTAAACTAGAATTGGAATTTATACATCTGATACCCTGTTCAAAGAACACTAAACTCATTGTAAAATTTTCACGAATCATGCAATATTTGTTGGCATGTGAACATAATTTTTAAATACAACTTTCCAAATATTCCTTTTTTATGTTAATCTGAGGAGAGCGTTAAAATTACAATCAATGTTTTTAATGTGTGTGTGTCACATATGTGACAAATGTACATGTGTGTGTGTCACATATGTGACAAATGTACATGTGTGTGTGTCACATATGTGACAAATGTACATGTGTGTGTCACATATGTGACAAATGTACATGTAGAATTTCGTTTCATTTTCACCTGGCCGGGGTTAAATGGACAATTCGTACTTATCTAAATGTATACATGAGTGAAATATAACAGGTATTCAACAATTCTGAGAATTACATTAGTTACAACGATAATGTAGATCAGATGTGATTTAAGAAGAGCAATAATTATATAATGATATTAATTTTGTGAAATAGAAGGATTTATCCTAAGAAATTTCCACACCACTTACTGTCAACTAAAACACCTGGGGAAACGATGATCTTTATAAGCTAATTTTGGTCTAAACATTCTCACACAGCATTTTTAATCAACATCAGCACGTGCCATTGATATGTCAAATGGTTGCAATTATGTTTCTTAAATATTTTCCGATTTGGTATTATTAGGGGTCTTTTTCCAGATGTCATTGTATTAAGGATTGATAGGAACATTGATCTTATGGTGGGGGTTCATATCTGGTCCATACATATGTTTCCGTTGTTGTCTTTCCGTGTCAGACAGGTACGTACGCATGTGTGCGGTATTTATAAAGAGAGACAACTCTCACTTGCCGTAAGTCCTAAGTGTGGCGCCGCCTCTGCAGTAGGTAATCTTTCTAATTTGATTTTCCTGGCAAAAAGCAATACTCAAACATTCTAACAGTTAGAATGACTGGTAACCTACTTAGTACTTGTGTTGATGTCCCTTATCGAGTGCGTGTGAGGCATCCATACCGGAAGTTTTTTGGCTACCTTCCTAAACAGGTTCGGATCGTCCTGTATCATCGATCGTACCATCTGAGTGGTTGGTAACATGGTGCTCTTCACAAATTGTCGCTGGCTGTTTAACTTTATCATCGCTATTTTCTTCTTTTTATTCTTATCTTTAATAGATTTTTGCCTCTTCATTGAAAATATCGGACGGTGTTTTTGTTTACCTTTACGCATGCGCACTATTCTTTCCGGTTCCACAATTTCTCGGCAGCATCTGCAGCACCAGCAACAACAAGAACAACATCCAGCGTATCCACAACAGCCAAAGTAGTCACAGCAGCCATCTTTTGTATCTTCTGGCGTTCGCATACAGTAGAAACAACAGCCGCAACACAGTCTGCTGCACAAACTGCCTCTCTCCTCAACATTTTCAACGTCTCCTACCTTTCTTCGGCCTCTGGAACAACACAAGATTTCCATTCTTACAAAGTGTTAAGCATATGCACTTAGCTTGCTGAAGAAAATGAAAAAAAGTAGTACACAAGAGAAAAGAGAAAGATACAGAACTCAACAATCGTCATTTTAGGGCATGTCATTTCTTACATCTGTAACACAAAACCCTTGTTTGAATCTCTAAAAGGCATATACATTATTGTATGGATGAATGATTTTCCTTCAAAATGAGGGAAATATCCCAATCTCTGTTTATTTTGACACGAGCTCGTTAACCAATTCACCGAATTTCCTAATGACCAGTGATCATTCTGTTGTACCGACATAGACAAAAACAACTTACTCACTGTGGTGACGCGGAAAGTATCTCCGTGTTTCTAGACCCGAGGAAAGTGATTAATTGTTACGAATTCTCAACCAGAGTATCTATTTTTAACCGGAAGTCAGTCATATTTGTGTACTTTTAGTGACGTCACACATTGACTATAGACTGTGTATTACTACGCTTGACTAGATGGGGGTATACAGTCCCATATACTCCCATCAGGTTACATAAATCCTATACAGGTAACTTGCAGTAGAATAGAAATATACACAGATATATGCCTTTTAGTGTGCTTTACTTTTCTCCCATTGTATGTGTATATACTGTGTCCATACTATTTCTTCATCGGCGAGTTCCCGGGTTTTAAGAAATAAATGTATAATCACAATATATAACGGCTTTATAACAAATATATTTTTAATCGTGTTTTGAAAACACAAGGTTTATAGATAATGGTAAATTGTGTGGATTTTAATAGAACTTATACATACCTACAGTTGTTGCAGCAGTATCGGATACAGAACCAGATAAGACAACTCATCAGGCCCAGAGTTATTAGTCCAAGTATACCGATCAGCAACCAAAACCAGGCTGTAATAGATAACAATGAAAAATCCCTGAGGACCCGATAACCCAGGCTGTAACAGATAACAATGAAAACTCCTGAGGACCCGATAGTCTAGGCTGTAATAATTAACAATGAAAACTCCTGAGGACCCGATAGTCCTGGCTGTAATAGATAACAATGAATACTCCTGAGGACCCGATAACCCAGGCTGTAATAGATAACAATGAATACTCCTGAGGACCCGATAGTCCTGGCTGTAATAGGACCCGATAACCCAGGCTGTAACAGATAACAATGAAAACTCCTGAGGACCCGATAGTCCTGGCTGTAATAGATAACAATGAAAACTTCCGAGGACCCGATAGTCCAGGCTGTAATAGATAACAATGAATACTCCTGAGGACCCGATAGTCCTGGCTGTAATAGATAACAATGAATACTCCTGAGGACCCGATAACCCAGGCTGTAACAGATAACAATGAAAACTCCTGAGGACCCGATAGTCCTGGCTGTAATAGATAACAATGAATACTCCTGAGGACCCGATAACCCAGGCTGTAATAGATAACAATGAATACTCCTGAGGACCCGATAGTCCTGACTGTAATAGATAACAATGGAAACTTCCGAGGACCCGATAGTCCAGGCTGTAAAAATTAACAATGAAAAATCCCTGAGGACCCGATAACCCAGGCTGTAATAGATAACAATGAAAACTTCCGAGGACCCGATAACCCAGGCTGTAATAGATAACAATGAAAACTTCCGAGGACCCGATAGTCCAGGCTGTAATAGATAACAATGAAAACTCCTGAGGACCCGATAACCCAGGCTGTAACAGATAACAATGAAAACTCCTGAGGACCCGATAGTCCTGGCTGTAATAGATAACAATGAAAAATCCCTGAAGACCCGAAAGCCATCACTCTTTACTTTATCATTATTTTGCTCAGTCTATACACCTCAATACGTTAGCTACCGTTTGAAGCTTTAAGGAAATCTCTTTTTGTAAGATTTCTATCAAAACGCTAAAATATTCTATCTGGACTACATAAAGGCTTGTTGCCAATCGAAACATCTCTTTGAAATTTCCGCCAGTCTTGAAAATTATTTCTGAAGATTGCCGGAAATTCACCGAGATATTGCTTTTGCTAATTGTATGTATTTTTCTAGATAATATTATTATGTAACTAATGCATATATCAACAATGATCCTACCTGTCTCCAGGAACTCGAGTGTACATACAGGGTACGTGCCCTGCCAAATGTAAGGGGGATTACTGGGTCCGGATGGTGTCGGTGCCGCCACACAGTTTAGGGTTGAACTTCCGGTCATGGTGTACGCTGCGTTACAGGTATACTGTACTGCCGATCCTACTGAGTAGGAAGTCTGTGCATTGACCTTGCCATTTGCAATTCCTGGTGGGTTACCACACGACATTGTTGTGCTTTTAGATATTATATTTTAGTAGAATATTGGAACAATCAGTAAGTTGCCGGTGTGAAAATAAAACTTTTAAGAAATGCTTTGATTATAATGACCACTTGTGTCTGTTAGCTACTGAAGAAAAATGGTCTTCTTGTTGATAGGCAGTGTTATACTCCAGTCTCTGTTCCCTACTCGTTTAGTACGTCAGTTACATCACTTTTTGCGATAAGACTTTTTTCTTTTTGAATTTTCCGCCTTTCCCCCGTTTTAAGACTCGGTAATAGCTGTCGGTATTTGCCATATATTCCTTCTCCAGTTCGTACCTACTTCACGCTTGTTCAGTATCGTATGTGTTCGTCTAGTTTCCCTGAGAATGACGCAGGTTATATCGAAAGTAACATACACTACTGGACTATTGATTTGAGTTCAATTTCGACCAGTTCATTTCTTTCTAATCAAACATGTCGAGATAAACCAATACATTTTCAACAGTTAAACATTGGACTTAAAATCAATTTGTACCAAACTTATCGATCGTGCAGTATTGACTTTGTAAATCTGTTTTGATAACTTATATCATTCGATATGGCAACAACTACCATTAATCTCGCGAGCTAGACAGCCGCCGTATACCTATCCTGGGTGTGTACTCGGTCGGCGTTCTCCGTTTTGCTCCTATATTCTGCACGTAACAGGCATATTTACATAGGATCTCGAACTCTTTGTCAAATTCATGACGCATACTTCAATTTGTTGAGTAATAAAAAATGATTCACAAACATGTAAATTGTAAAGTCGTACCCGCATTGAATTTCAGGAAATTTGTTTTTGTCTGAAATGATGCCTATTTTTTTGGTACTTGAAACATAGATTTTTGCTTTCCTTAAATCACTGTCGTGAAATCAGTATACATTTATAATGATAAACATTTGCATAAAAATTCTTTCACTCTTATAAAACATTTTATAATTGCTTGGTTCCCGAGCTACTCAAACAATCACTGTCAATTTTTATTTAAGAATATTTTATCGGATAAATACAGCTTACAGATTGAGCACAGATTATTTCAACATTACAAGGGCTTCCTCTCCACAATAAGTTTTACATAAAATAGCACAAATCCGATCATACTGAAATTTTCATACAAAACATGTAAAGATGCAAGTTGATGAGTTCATGTCATTTCCACGTCTAGCCTTCACATAGAAAGTAATGTTGATGGTGAAAACGAAGACTTTGTACAAGGAAGCTATAATTTTGATACGATTTAACACTAACCGTAGTTGGTAAGAGATTGTACAGAAAATAGGGAGTGATTCTGTTTTCGTCACAAATTTCATAACTGCCGTGGGTTTTCAAGGGTCAATTCTAGGCCCTGTGTTATTTTTTATGTTTTATAAGTGACATTGTCGAATAGAAACGTAGATAATTTAAACAATTTCAATAAAACCTGAAACATAGTTCCTTTTTATCTTATGATAATTTTTATCGTTATAATTTATCTTTGTGATATCTATTTTCCTCTCTCTTCTGCTTTTTTACGATATAAATCATATATAATTGTACAGATGTAGTTCTGTATTTCCTAGCTAAATTTTTATAAAAGTACGTATTTAAAGATAGTTTCGTTTATTTGAAAATAAAATTATTTGATTGAAATTATTCATATTTAAAACTGTAAACTATGTTATGTAACATTTTATTTATGTGCTCTAAAACATAAATTGATAAGCAGTATTTCGAACTACATATATTCAAGAAATAACAACTTATTACAATCTTCAATTTAGGTGTCGAATATTATCGTAGTACACCAAACAGCAAAACAGGTAGGAAATGTAACTAGTCATAGAAATCGGTCTGTAATTAATCGTTTTTATCAATGAAAGACACGGACACATGCCATACTGTGCTAACGTGGATTGTAATGTTTATCTAAAAAATACTATCCATGCCCTATCACGCTAGTGTAACCCCTTAATAAACAACAAAATATACGATAACAGATGAAATAACATAAATTGTTTTATCACAGGAATGTGATTCAGAGAAAATACAGGTGTGATTTAACCTATATCGACTCTGGGTTCAGAATATAACGTTACATATGTACAGATTGTGACGTAACAATGGAAACCAAAGAAATAGAGCTGAAATGAAATAAGGTTGACGCCAAACTGTTTGTTTTCTAGAAACACTACAGTAATTATTGATGTGATGAAATGGACATCAAATGCGTTTGTATTTGATGTGTGATGTATGGAATCCATTATTTTTTGTCATTTTAACTCGCCTGCCTTCGGTGACGTAAACACGTATATGCAGATTCAAATAAAAGTGGTTAAGGTTTACACAATTACATCTGTAACACAGACGTCAGATTAAACAGGTTAAGGTTTACACAATCAAATCTGTAACACAGGCATCATATTAAACAGGTTTAGGTTTACACAATTACATCTGTAACACAGACGTCAGATTAAACAGGTTAAGGTTTACACAATCAAATCTGTAACACAGGCATCATATTAAACAGGTTTAGGTTTACACAATTACATCTGTAACACAGACGTCAGATTAAACAGGTTTAGGTTTACACAATTACATCTGTAACACAGGCGTCAGATTAAACAGGTTTAGGTTTACACAATTACATCTGTAACACAGACGTCAGATTAAACAGGTTTAGGTTTACACAATTACATCTGTAACACAGGCGTCAGATTAAACAGGTTTAGGTTTACACAATTACATCTGTAACACAGGCGTCAGATTAAACAGGTTTAGGTTTACACAATTACATCTGTAACACAGGCGTCAGATTAAACAGGTTTAGGTTTACACAATTACATCTGTAACACAGGCGTCAGATTAAACAGGTTTAGGTTTACACAATCACATATGTAACACAGGCGTCAGATTAAACAGGTTTAGGTTTACACAATTACATCTGTAACACAGGCGTCAGATTAAACAGGTTTAGGTTTACACAATTACATCTGTAACACAGTAACACAGTAACACACGTCAGATTAAACAGGTTTAGGTTTACACAATTACATCTGTAAACACAGACAGGTTTAGGTTTACACAATTACATCTGTTAGTCAGATTAAACAAGTTTACACAATCTGTAACACATTTGTAACAAAGATTACACATTACATCTGTAACATTAAACAATTAAACAGGTTTAGGTTTACACAATTAAATCTGTAACACAGACGATTAAACAGATTAAACAGGTCAGATTAGGGTTACACAATACATCTGTCTGATTAAACAGGTTTAGGTTTACACAAATACATCTGTAACACACGTTTACAAAATTACCAGTTAGATTAAACAAGTTTACACAATCATATTAAACAGGTTTAGGTTTACAAAATTACATCTGTAACACAGACGTCAGATTAAACATGTTGATGGCTACACAAGCACATCTGTAACACAGACGTCATATTAAACAGATTAAAGTTGACACAATTACATCTGTAACACAGGCGTCAGATTAAACATGTTGATGGCTACACAATCACATCTGTTACACAAACGTCAGATTAAACAAGTTTACACAATTACATTTGTAACATAGGCGTTAGATTGTGCATTTACATTTTTACAGGTCAATGTTTACTTTTGTCACACTAAATTTTGTCTGTGATAATAAAGGTTTTCCCCGTGTAAGTCACTTATTTTGTTTTAGTTCCCAAACGTGAACCAAAACATAAGATGTGATTAAACTGTATATTGATGCAAGTACATTTCTATTAAATACCTCATCTGCCCCATGGGTCATATCTAGATCTCGAACTGACTGATGTGATGTGATATAGTTATATTGAAATAAATAAATAACAGCCCTAAATATCAATACCCAGAAATATATGTTGAATCCTATGGTAAGGCTGTATAATAGCAGACAGAGAGGAAGTATGGCATTTTAGAAAAATGTAACTTACTTATGTAAGACAGAGGGAAATGTTGGAAATAGAGAAAAAAGGACATATGGATGACTGTAAAGGAACAAGGAGGAACAGAGCGAGGATCAAATAAAGAAAGATAACTCTTACATACTTCCTTAGCTGCTTTAGATTACCGTTGGTCACATGTACCAGATTACCATATATAACTTTGTATACGTCACTTTAATTATAGTATGCCAACGTGTACAGTGAATATGCACTACCTTTAAACCATCTTGTACGCTAGTATTGCTATGATATATCACACTGTACAGTAAACAACCACCTGACTACCAGATGCGTGTGTACTACCACATGCCATCCTGTACACAGCGTTTGTACTATCATATACCACCCTGTACACAGCGTTTGTACTATCATATACCACCCTGTACACAGCAAGTGTACTATCATATACCACCATTTACACATTGTGTGTACTACCATATACCACCCTGTACACAGCGTGTGTAATACCATATACCAACCTGTACACAGCGTGTGTACTACCATATACCACCCTGTACACAGCGTGTGTAATACCATATACCACCCTGTACACATTGTGTGTACTACCATATACCACCCTGTACACAGCGTGTGAAATACCATATACCACCCTGTACACAGCGTGTGTACTACCATATACCACCCTGTACACAGCGTGTGTAATACCATATACCACCCTGTACACAGCGTGTGTAATACCATATACCACCCTGTACACAGCGTGTTCACTACCCATATACCACCCTGTACACAGCGTGTGTACTACCATATACCACCCTGTACACAGCGTGTGTAATACCATATACCACCCTGTACACGGCGTGTGAAATACCATATACCACCCTGTACACAGCGTGTGTACTACCATATACCACCCTGTACACAGCGTGTGTCATATACCACCCTGTATATACCATATATACCCTGTACATACGTGTGTACACAGCGTGTGTATATATATACCACCCTGTACCATATACCACCCTGTACACAGCGTGTGTACTACCATATACCACCCTGTAAACAGCACGTGTCATT